ATCAGATTATGCAAAGGAAAAGGGACACAATAACAGAGGATTCCAGAGGTCGAAATACTTACAGTGGCCGAGGCCTGGAGGGCCTTGAGCTCGAGGGCTTCGTCCCCGAACCGGCTAAGGGTGGACCGGTCCACCGAAGGGGTGGCACCCCTCAAGAATTCCCTCGGGTCGAGGGTGCCATGCATGATGGCTGTCCCCTTCTTGATGGGGAAGTGTACTGTTTCAAGGGGCCAGGCACCCTCGACGAGATCCTCCAGGGGAGCAGTGGCAGACGATTGGCCGGCTGGGGGGTCGTCAATGATCACCACGGGGGCATCCTTCGGCTCAACGTCCCCCTTCAACTTTTTCCCTTCCGGAGGCCTGACGCCCTTCCCGGCGTTTTTTCGCTTGAGCTCCCCCTCCTTGGAGCCTCCGGCATCAGAACCGGCACCAGCGATGACAACCCCCTTTGGGGGCCCTTGACCCTCAGGGGTCTCCTGCCTCTTGGAGAGAGCGTCTCCCCGCGGCTGTGCCGGGGGCCTCTCCCCCTTCTTCTTCTTATCCTTGGCCAATTGCCGAGACAGCTTGGAGAATGCCTTCGGGTCCATAAAATCGCCTGCAAGAGAACATCAAAGAAGAAGTTAGAATCAAAAGCAAATCAAGGACTTACATCTCTAAGTACTAACAGTAATGGCCCTCGGCAACAACCTCTGACACCCGGAGAGCCCCGGTCAAGGAGAGGATATCTCTCGTCTTTCTCCCCTGGCAGGCGGGTACCGCCGGAATTCTAGCTTAAACAGCTCTTCCGGGAGCGTGGCGGCCTTGATTGTTGTCAGCTTCTCTGAACCCGGCAGCTTCGCCTTCAGCTTTTTCCCATCACTCTCAAGGGCGGCGTTGCCTACCTTGGGGTGCCTCCGGAAATGATTGCGGAGAGGCCTCGGGAAGTCAGCTCCCAGCATCCTCAGGTAGCAGAAACGATCCTTCCATCCCTTATGGGACGAGGGTACCTCTGAAAAAAGCCTCCATGCCGGCAGCTGTTGAAGGTTGGCAAAGCCTTCGCTGTTCGCGGCCCCCCCTCGGCAAAGGTTGAAGGACAGGAAAAACTGGTCGAGAGAAGGTTCCACCCCCCGGGAATCACACAGAGAGAGGAACCCCGCCAAGTATGAATGGCTGTTGGGAGTTAACTGACAGGGAGCGAGGCCTACGAACCGGAGGTATTGCACGACGAAGGGGTGCAAGGGGAAGCGGAGGCCCAACTCCACCGAGAGGATATGCACAGCAAAGCAGCCTTCGGGGGGAGATAACAGCACGTCGTCAGGACCTGGCACCACCACCTGTGCCGACGGGCCCACTAAGAGCTGAGTCTTGAGATACTCCGCCTCCACAGCCTTCGTCTTCAAATCTAGCGCGGCTGTGTTGAGGTAGGAATGTCCTTCGGGAATTCCCACCGGCTGTCCTGCATCCACCGCAGCCTGTTTCTTCTTCTGGGCAGCCTTCTGCTTCTTTCCCTTCTTCCCCGAAGCTACCCGGAGGGGAACCGCGTCAATCGGCCGGGAGCTACTCGTTTCACCGGCGCCTCGCGAAGGCAAAAAAGCAACCGTGACACGTTGCCTCTCCTTCTCCTCCTCTTCCTCAGCTACCTGAAGCGCGAGGGCCATCTCCTCGTCCTCAGCAACCTGTTCGAAGTCTTCGGCTTCAACCTCAGCATGAAGGTTGCTTTGTACCTCTCTCGCCACCTCAGAATCATTGTTGGACGAAGCCTCGCTCGATGACTCCGTACCCAGGTAGCTCTCAGATTGGGCGGGGGCTTCCTCCGAGATGTTTTGGGAGTCACTTGCCGAGGACATCTTTCCGCGGAATAAGGGGGAAGATTGGAAAAGAATACTAACTGGGGGGAACTAAAACGCTAAATCTAAGGCCGAAGTAGCTAAGTATGCCGAAGAAACGAAGAACTGAGGAAGAACTGACCTTAGAAATAGGATTTGATCGAAGCAAGGACTTTCTCTCTCTAGAAATTTTGGCAGAGCTTCGCTTCAATTCTAAAACGCGCAGCGGAAATGAGCTCAGACTTGGAGTATATATAGGCTTTCAGCCTTGAGAACTGGGCCTGGATTTGAAAAGGCCATCATTACGGGCCGCCGGTTCAGCCAATGGATGGAAGCCGCCCCCCACCTGCCAACGACAAAGCGCCACGTGGAACCCTCTTCCAACGGCTATATTACAACGACTATATTTCGGCAACACTGGAGTGCCCTCGAATGATAGCCTCCGGCTATCACCCGCCACATCCTTCGAACAACGAATTCCACCAAACGCCTTCGAGCCCGCGGCAGCACAAGCCCCCGGCATGACAACATTGTCACCCCTCGGGGAACCCAACAACACATTATAACTCCTTCAGCCCGAACTCGCCTTCGGCCTAAAGGAGTGGGGGACTGGGATACCCCCCTCGGGAATCATGCAGGACAAAAATTCCTCATGCAAAGATTTACAATTGACGCAAGTAGCATCCGGGTGAACATCAAAGCAGAAACTTTCGGGTATATACTTCAACACATCCTTCGGCAGAGGTAGAGTATCAAAATTTTTCCCCGAGTCACTTTGCGGAAATAAAGCAACCCTCATCACAACACACGCAGGCAATACATCCATGCTTTCCTCAGAAAACCCTCGACGTGTGAGGGACTGAGGAAAGCCTTCTGCGGTCATACAGGTGTTATACTGCCCTCAGAAAACCCTCGACATGTGAGGGACTGAGGGGAGCCCCCGGCGAACATACGAAGGTTGTGAATACCTTCCCTCAGAAAACCCTCGACATGTGAGGGACTGAGGGAAGCCTTCGGCAGAAGGGAAGTTCTCCGGCAAAGGCACCCAACGAAATGATGAAGCCTCCAGGAGAATCAACACAACTACTCCTTTTCCCTCAAGTACCTTTCGGCAAAAGGAGTGAGGGACTCCTGATGGAGTATATGGCCCAGGAACCCCCGGCCCATAGACTCCTGCTTCTCCTACACAAGTTCGTCGAGCCCAGAGAACAACTCAGGCCCAATTGTGGCGGCCCAAGCCTCAAAATAGCCCAGAATACATACTGGGGTGCCTTCGGCCTCCCTGGCCGAAGGCTCCAGACCTCACAGGATGGCCTTTCTGGCATAAGAAGCTGCTGGGAGGAAGTGACAGAAAACGGGAGCCTTCGGCACTGTGGAGCCCTCAGCACCAGGGGAAGCCTTCGGCTGAACCAAGCCTTCGGCCACACAAGGCTTTCGGCCGCACAGGGGTCCTTGGTCACATGGAGCCCTCGGCCACACCAGGAGCCTTCGGCCAAACATGCTCAATCATCGAAGATTCCTTTTGGAGACAGCCAACCACCGCATTTAATGCCACGTCACATCCGCCAACCGCATTCAATGCAGTGAACGTACCACTGCCGGTGCCACCCGGCTGATGTGACCCCTCGGCCGTCGGATTACTGACACGTGTACTCTCATCGCATTTATTGCTGCTATAAATAGCAGCCCTTATTCACCTTGTAAAGACAGGCTGAGTTCATTTAATAAATCGACTCTCTCTCCTCCTATTTTGCTCTGACTTCTCTCTAGTTATTCCTGCAATAACCCCTCGGATAAGATACCCCCCGGGTAGACTATCCATCAAATCTAGTTTAAACATCAAACCTAGAATTGCAAGTTTATTTTCTATCCATCTATATCAACAACTTTCAATTATCAAAAATCAAAAGTTTTTTATACAAACAATGGCCATGGATTTAAGATCAACCAGACCACCTTCTCTGTATCAGTGATGTGTGTTTCTTAACAATGCCATTTTCAATGGCATAGAAAATCGTTTAACGGATGCCTTCTTCTTCCAAGTCACTATGCGGAATATGACCCGGTTTCATTATCTTTTTTTTGTCAAACCAACCAATGGGTTCTTCACTGCAACCTAAACGAAGACCCACACTTTTCCATGTAATTTCCATTTCCAACTTTAATAACATGCTTTGTGACTTCAGCACAAACATCAATGAGGTGGCTATGGTGCTCAAAGAAGTTGTCATTCCACCCTTGGAGCATCCTCACATCATGGCGAATGTAAACTCCGCCACCATGTCAGTGGCCCAATAGTTTGGCGACCTTGAGGACAAAATATCCCACTCATTGTTGATATCGCCAAGTCAGACTTCAAGATCATCGAAGACCCCTTTCAATCCAACTATGAAGAGTATGTGAATGATCATGTAGTGATACGATTGGTTGAAGTAAAGTTTTTTCACTCTCATAGTGTGTTTAATATCATAGTTTTTCAACTTATTTGCCTATAGAGCCATTTTGATATTCTAGCATTCAATATAGTTGAATTTTTCACCTTTGTAGTGAATTGGCTAATATCGTTGAAGAAGACTATTTAATATTTTTAATATAATTTTTTCTTTGCTTTATAAATTATTATATTTAATATTTTTAATATAATTTTTTCTTTTCTTTAGCTTATAAATTAACAATTCAGCTAATTACAGCATTTGTGACGAGCACTAAATCTCTTAACTAAGATATTTAATTAGGTTGCACGTGTTTGTCCTTTTCCACTTGAGTTAGCTCACTATGGTGATGATCATATTTTTAGTATTAGGATGTTTTCTCATTTGCGTTTAAAGTCAAAGTAGATAAGATCTAACTACACTTAAACAAATGAGATCAAACAAGAATGACTTAACATCCCATACCAACTTACACATAAAATAACGATAAGTAAGTACTTCTCAACCCTATAAAATAATATAATTTGTCAAAAATAATTTTTATACATTACCATAACTTTGAAAATTCATCTACTCTTCAATAATACTACTTTTATGTTTAAAATAACATCTATCATTCAGAAACAACATTTGTGATTTAAATAACCTTTATAAGCTTTAAATGGTTCAATATAACTCGAAAATACCTTTATAGTGTTGTTGTTTTTTTAAACTGAACAATTCACATCTCCATATAGGAGTAAAGTATCATTTTTTTAAAAAGGACTTTCCAAAATTATCTTTTATAACTAAGATATCTTTTTTTTGTTGAAAAACAATTTTATTCAAAATATAAAGTAAAAGTACAGTGCAAGAAGATAAGTAAAAAAAGAAGATAAGAAAAAAAAAGAGAACAAGAAAGAAAGGAAAACAAAAACAAAAAGACAAACACTAGAGCCAAGGGAAATCTCTGGACTGTGATCTGGTCCTCATGCTATGGCGTCTTTTATTCTTCTGAGATTTCCTGTAGATCTTTAGTTGTGTGTTCAGATTTTCTGTCGGCGGGAAGTTTTCTGAGGTGACCAACTTTGATTTACGACATATCGATCTATTGAATTTGGAGTTCTTAATTTCTTCCTGGTATGATAGAGGGGGTCGACGATCGCTTTCGCTTGCATGACCTAGAAAATCGTCTGTGAAAAAAGAATCGTCAAAGTGGTCAAAGTCGTCTGAGGCATCAGAGTACGCTTGGAGGCGTGGCTTTTGAAGTTATTTCTCAAATGATGGGGGTTGTTTCCCAGAATAGAAGACTTGTTGATTCTCGGTATCTGCTACCTGGATTTGATAATTAAAAATCAGTTTAGATATGGATGTGGGGTCCTCCGTTTCTAACATACTCCCTTGCTGAAGAGATATTGAGTCGTCATGCACTAATTGTGAGATCCTTTTGTGCTCCAGGTGCATTGGCTCCTCCTACACTAAATCAAAAAATCCCACAAAATTTGAAAAGATAGCCAAAAAATTGAACAGACTGGATTTTCTTGGGCTCGATGGGATCAAGATGGAACTTCCTTTTTCTTTAGAAATTTTCAGGCACGACCTGATTTGTAAAATTCCAAAGAAATTGTGATAAGTCCAAATTTCCTTTGCTGCCTATAATTATTGTCTCTTCCCGTGATCTGAGAGATATATCGAATGATTTGTGGAGCCAAGTTGAGATTGAAGGTAATCTTGGTCAGGCAAGATTTTTTAATCTCGAAAATGGTCAGGGTGTTGTGCTTGACCGCAAATTTGAAAATTGTATGACCAATTTTAATTGTGTCAAAGCCTTTCTCACCGAAAAAAGAGAAATTCTCCGAATCTTTGGAAATACTTGTTGACTCTGAGTGGTGTCTATCAGCGGTAACTATTGAAAAGTTACCTTCTGTTAAAATAATTTGTTTATCCGTTGACAAAAGCTTTTGGCTTGTGGTTGAGAATGGAACACCCATCCTTAGGCCAGTAGTGTGACCATGTGCTTCCTCGCCAGATAAGCGTTTGTCGTTGCTGGTTTTCAGTAGGTCAGCCCACGTGAATGTTTTGTCCTTGCGCGGGTTTACAGAGCTACTGATAAGAGCTGTTTGTGGTTCCTGGGACCCTGTCGCTGTGGATCAGTCACCGGAAGGTTTATCGGGCAAGACTTCAGTCGTTGAGTCAACTGGAGTTTCCGGCTTAGCGTTCGCTGGTCGTCACCTCTGGATACCACGGTCACCGACATGATTTCCGAGATTTAATTCCCCTGCCTTCACCTCACAGTTAATTATCCGGCTATGTCGATTGCGACCGTCCAAGTTACGTCTCTGATTTCCTTTTAATTCTCTTTGACTCCATCGAGGGTCGTTAGCATAACTGAGGGGGGGTCTTTCATAATCTCAGATTTCTTCTTCAAAATCTAAACAATCAAAACGATTAGAAAAGGTAGGTCTGCAGTTGATGTCTGATTTAGGTATTGTGAGGCGCTGAGCTTGGTGAGGGTAGCGCTGCCTCCTGTAATTGACCGTGTGCCAGTCGCATTTTTGTTCAGGAGGACGAAAGCCCAGGTCCAATTGACTGTGTGAGGAGAGAGAGACGTCGTTGAAACTTTCCCGGGGCATGTATTTTGGGTAGAGCTCATGCCCAGGTGTGAGTTGACTTGAATTTGCATCATTCCTGTACTTAGGTCTAAAGCCTGATTGTTCGTAATACCTGCTATGAGGATGCCTATTCCAATTTCTGATGATTGTATATCTCCTGTCTCGATCCCTGGATCTGAAGCTGAGCGAGATTGATCTATCTTCGTTCGTTTTACGAAAAGTGTTACTCCGGCGTCTGTATGAAGGTTGGGTGTACTCATTCTGGATAAACGGGTGTCCACAGCCACGATTCCCGGCACTGTGCCTTTGAGTTGAATACCCACCTTCATTGCGCCTATTATACAAAAACGAGCATTCTGGCGGTGGCTCGTCGTACATATCCGCCGGAATCACAGAAAGGTCACTGGATTTTTAGTGAGAAGCCGGAGGTTCTCTCTCATGATTTCTGATATTGTGTTAGCTTCTTTTTCATAAAAGTAACACTTCATTTAGAATTCTTATATAACTAAGAGAGTGCCGTTCTTGTCCAGCCGGCCTGACGGGATGCTCCGTCCGGCCGAGGGCATTTCGGGCACTTCCCGGTGGAATTTGTTGATGAAATTTTTTGAGCATGTTCTTCATGAAGTCTAGTTTATCCATACCAAATTTCAGCTCAAAATTCGATCGGGAAGGCATTCAAATAATTTTGTGAAGTTAACTGGGCAGTTTATATGTATGAACTGCCCAGTTAACTTCAAGAAATTATTTGTGTGCCTTCCCGATTGAATTTTTAACTGAAATTTGGTATGGATAAACTAGACTTCATGAAGAACATGCTCAAAAAATTTCATCAAAAAATTCCACCGGGAAGTGCCCGAAATGCCCTCGGCCGGACGGCGGTTCCCGTCAGGCCGGCTGGACATGAAAAGTCCTCATAACTAAGATATCATTGATTTATACTTATTCACATATAACACTCCAAAAGCGTTTATATTTTATTACTTTATTCCACAAAACATATCCAACTTAGGTTAATATCCAGGGTGGCTATCGGCTCGTTCGTTATGAACATATTGTTCATAGATTACTCTAAGGATCCTTTTGAACTTGTAGTTTATAGTTTACTCAAGATTTCATTATGAACTTAGGGGTTCATATATTACTCAAATTGTCATACGGTCAAGCCTGTTTAAAGAGCTTTTGGGGTTAGATTTTTTGATGACATTTTGTGAAAATGTCTTCAAGAAATTTGAGCTTAAAATTCAATCAGGAAATCAGTTAAATAAATTATTGAAAAACATTGCATTTTTTATATGAAGTGTAGGCGCAATATTAATATATACTTCCTTTGTCCCATAAAATTCTTCTCACTTATCATTTTGGGATGTCCAATATTTTTTCTCACCTTTTTTTTGCAAAGTTTTGTGTGGTTAAAATTCATTTACTTTTCATTACTCAATCACAATCATACATTTTCACTTTATTCATACTTTTTAAACTCTGGTTTAAGTCAAACTAGAAGATTTCTATGGGACAGAGAGAGTATTTAAAAGTAATATTATGGTAGTTTTATAGTATTGTACGAAGCAGTTATTAATGAGTTGTTAGCAGGAGCAGAGCCATCATTGTTCAAAACTATTCACATGAACACCCAAAAATCTGAAAAAAGTGTAACTATACATGAATAAATTTAGTGCAATTATTTAATGCTCTTTAAATTCTTAGTCGTAAAAACAAATTGAACACCCAAAATGGAAATTCAAAATCTGCCACTGGTTGTTAGGTGCCTCATGTGTCATGTATTAATGTGCATACAGAACTATGAAAGTATTATACTCCATATATACTTTTAATTTATAATCAGTCATTTAATCTTAGATTTCCAGATTAGTAGAGCCGCAACCCTGGACTTTTTAGAATTATAGAGTAACATATGTGCATGCTTTTTCGAAAGGAAACAACTTATTTATTATTTTCTTTGAAGGAAAGAGAATTAGTTATCATTGATGGCATCAGTGTTTAGTACATGTAAAATAAACATTGGAGGAAAATCAAACCAACAAATGCTATCAGACATAGAACAAGCTGCTTGCGCCAGTGCATGAGCCGCTCTGTTCGCTGACCGCCTAATGTGAGAAAAAGAAATCTCAGAAAAGTAAGACCGAAGTTCTCTAATATCCTCAGCCAAGATCCCAACAGAAGAAACACTCGAACCATCCCAAATTTCCGATATTGCCTTAGAAGCATCAGACTCTACTTCGATCCAATCCCATCCATTCTCTTTCACCCAACTGAGAGCTTCCCGAATACCGACTAATTCCGCTTCCCAAGGAGATAGAAACCCCTGCCAAGGTTTAGAAGCACCTGCTACAAAACTGCCATCCTCATTTCTAAGAAGCCATCCCAGCCCGATACCACTATCCTTGAGTGATGCATCGACATTCAGCTTTAATCTCCCTGGCCGAGGGCGCTTCCAACACACCGCCCCCTTCAATCTTTGAGCTACCCGCCTCCTCCCTTGCTGCTGCGCCAGAGTCCAGCTCTCAACAAAAATTGTGACTTCAACAACACGAACTTTGCATCAGTCTGTACTCCGTTCCAAACTCGGTTATTCCTTTCACACCACAACCCCCAACATCCTGAAATCAGTTTGCACAAATCATGCTCCCTCTTGGCCTGAAACTCTCTCTGCAATTGCTCCATGAAGTCAGCCGCTGCACCAGACACCCACTCCCACCTCACAGCCCTCCAAGCCTCACAAGCAACAGAGCATGAGTGGAATAAATGCTGCAGCGATTCTTCAGCTCCTCCACACGACCCACATCTTTCATCGCAACTAACTCTCCTCGACCTTAGATTTGCAATAGTTGGCAGAAATCCACAACACAACTGACAGAAAAATCTCTTGATTTTAGGGGGGAGCTTCCATCCCCACATCACAGCCCAACCCGTCCAAGGACCCGCCTGCAATTCGCCAACCAAAGCCCGATAACAGCTCCGGACTGAGAACCGCCCAGAATCCTCCCACCTCCAACAAATTTTATCCGGAACATCCCTATAACTGATCGGTATCCCTTGGATAATTTGTGCATCCCGCTGGTCGAACAGGTCGCGAAGGATATCCCCATCCCACTCAGAACCGTCTGCAATCCGCAAGCTAGCAACCTTTGTTGTTTCCAATCCCAGGACTAAGACTGAAATCACCTTTTGATTGCTCCTAATTGGAAGCCAAGGATCACTCCAAATGTTAATGTCGCTTCCTCGACCTACACGTCAGAAATAGCTGCTACGAATGATATCTTGGGTCTGGAAAATACTCTGCCAAATAAAAGAGGGGTTAGAACGAAGCTTAGCAGTTAAAAAATTCCCTTCCCGGAAATACCACGCTTTATAAACTTTCCTGACTAAAGTTTCTGGTTCAGAAAAAATTCGCCAAGCCTGTTTAGCAAGCATTGATAAATTAAACTCACGCAGCTTCCTATACCCCATCCCACCATACTTTTTAGGCCGACATAGAAGATCCCAACTGCACCATCTGATTCCTTTGTTTGACTTCCCCTGCCACCAGTATCCATTCATCAGAATTTAAATCTCCTTACATAAATCTTTCGGGAGCAGAAAAACATTCATCGCGTAATTTGGCATTGCCTGGATAACTGACTTAAGTAACACCTCCCTCCCAGCTCTCGAAAGAAAACGATTATTCCAATTCTGGATACGATTAACCATCCTTTGCCTCAAAAAAGAACCGCCTTTTTATTCCTCCCAATTAGAGCCGGCAAACCCAAGTAAGGATGTTTTTACTTGGACTGTAATTTGCTGGTCTGGTCTGGTCTTGTCTCGTAAAGTCTGGTTTCTTTGTATTTTTATAACTATCCAAGTCTAGTCTGGACTGGTCTGGTCTGGAACAAATTACAGTCCAAGTAAAAACATCCTAAAACTCCTCATTACTCGCCTGCCCCACGCCCAACAAATCCATTAAACCTTCCTTATAATATGCCGTCACGTTTGGACTGAAGAAATTTTTTGATTTATTCAAGTTGATTACCTGGCTAGAGGCAGAAGCATACTCGCTCAGAATTTCCTTGACACTGGACGCCTCACTATGATTTGCTTTGAAAACAAACAAACTATCATCTGCAAACAATAAATGGGAAATTCTAGGAGCACCTCTAGCAACTACAATGCCCAACTTATTTATTATTGATAGACGTGATTCTTTTCAATATTTTTGCAGCTAGTATGTATTGTAAAAAGGATGACACCCCATCCCTGAGGGCCCCCCAACACCGACCGGACGACACGATGGGAGGATGTAAATTGGACTATAATCACAATCTGACAGATAGGGAGTGGGGCTCTGTCCTTGGTACTTGCAGAGGCCCTATGCATTTTTCAGCATAGTAACCCCTCATCGCAGTTGCCGGGATTCGAACCCGAGACCTAACCCTTGTGGCACTCCCTTGCTACTAGTTGAGCTACGTCCACCGGTACATCTAGTATGTATTATGACATTACTAAGAGGGTGTTTGGAGCCCCAAAAATAGGCTTATAAGCCTGAAATTAAAAAACTATAGCCAAACACAATGCTTTTGGGCTGTTTGAGCTGAATTTTCTTATCAGCCAAAAAAGCAACATCAAAGTTACTTTTTCAGCTGAAAATTATTTATGTGCTGTTAGAAATTAGAAGTACTCTTTTACCCTTGTTTTTTACGCCTACTCGTTTTCTTGTTGGTTCGTGACTCACTTGCACCCAGACCGAGAGAAGTACCTCCAGCAACTGCGCCATAGTTTGTGTTCCAGATCGATGACTTCATATTCATCGAAACGGCATTCCACAGTTTCGCTATAGGTTGCTCCACAATTTCGGCATTCCAGATCGGTTTTTCCATATGAATCAGATGTTAAGCTACTGCCACTTATCTTCATCTTCAATTTGTTAGTAGACCCACGTTTCTTAAATATTTTTTTCCTCTAATATTTGCTAAATATTATCTCTTTATACCCATATACGGAGTAGTAGTTTATTACTACGTAGTAAATTTAGACTTACGTTTCAATTTGTTAGCAAAATTTACACCCATATATTAACACAAATAAGTTGATACCCTTTATAGTAAATTTACACTCAATCAGCCATTTCAGCCAATATAGTACCAAACACTTTCTCTTCAGCAAATTAAATCTTATCAGGCTTTTCAGTCAATCCAGCCAATGCAGCGGTTACCAAACAGGCCCTAAATGTTACTCCGTACATCATAGTAGTTTCTTTTGGTTGCTTTCTGGCGGGTATACTCGGCCCATTTTTAAAACCCATCAAATCCTAATGGCCCGGGTCTGGAGGAGCGCCGAGAGGTCCGTTGCCATAATTACTTCTCTTAATTTCTCTCATTCTTACCCACATTTGATCTGAATGGCCGATAACATCGAAGAAGATAAAGGAGCTGCGGCGAACATCTCAACAATGTCGGTAACGGAAGCGCCGAAGGCCCATGAAACTTCTTCTGAATCACCGAAGAAGCCCGTGAGTTTCACCTTCTCCATCTGGCCGCCGACCGAGAAAACCCGTGACGCCGTC